TAGTTTATTGAATAAACATAAATACATCTCTTACAGTGATGGTTCACAGCATAAACAATGTAATTTACGAATCATTCGAAAGCACAAACGTTCAATTTTCCAATCTTCTAAAAAATCTAACTAGAAATTTTAGAAATGAATATAAAATTAACACCAACAAATCAAATTAACATACATTATTATTTAGAAATGAAAAAAATATTAGCCTCAGATTAGTATCCAATTGTTTTGACCATAGATAATCAACAATATGTTCATATATTTCTAACAATTGTTCATGTTTACTAACACCAACTAAAAAAAACAATGATAATAAACTCATTTATGAAAAGAAATTCACATACCCAAAATAGCTTCAAGTAAATTTAATCTATTCGGTTTATTATCATCCGATTTTAAAAGTTTATCAAAACAATTGACAATCTAAAATATGAATAAATTAATGAAGAAATGAAGTTATGGAACAGTTGACTAACTTCTCGAAAACTTTTACTCAATAAAAGTTTTGATATTTCGTCGGATTTGCCTAAAATATTTTCTAATTCAACATCCATTGAAAGATTTAGTGATAATAATGATGATAAGTAGAATTTTTTAATTTTTGTCTAAAAAAAAATTTAGAAAAATCCATTAGATGGATTAAATAAATCCATTAAAAAGTCTGTTGTAATAAAATACAAAGTGAAAATAAATATATTAAGACAGGGGGATTTGATACAATCGAATGAACAATGACAGATTTATATATATAAAGAGAAGGCATTCATTTAAACCAATTATTTGCTGACAAATAAATTTGTTTCAGGATTTTCAATACAAATGTCAAGACAGTTCTACTGTATGGAGTGGAAACTTGAAGAACTGCGAAAGGCATCATCCAGATGAAACAAGTGTTTATTAATAGTTGTCTACGCAAAAAAAACTTCGGATTGGTTGGCCAGACACCATCAGCAACAACCATCTACTGTGGGAGAGAACGAACCAGATTCCAGTGGAGGAGGAAATCAGGAAGAAGCGGTGGAAGTGGATAGAACACACACTACGAAAAGCACCTAACTGAGTCACGAGACAAGTCCTCACATGGAACCCTCGAGGTGAAAGGAACACATTACGCCGAGAAATAGAGAAAGATATGAGAAGAATGAACAAACATTGGACAGAACTGGAGAAGGAAGCCCAGGACAGAGTTGGTTGGAGAAAACTGGTGGGCGGCCTATACTCCATTGGGGGTAACAGGCGTAAGTAAGTAAGTAAATTTATTTCAGAGACCAATAACTACCTGTAATTTACTTTAAATTATTTTATGATAAAGACTGTAATAGAAATTGGTTAACATTGTACAACACTCTGGCTGATATTAAACTTAGAATGAATTAGCTAGCAATATAAGCAATATCTTCAGAGAATGACAGCCACTCGGTTTAAATATCTTAATCAATAACGTCTTTATACTGATTACATCAAAATGCTTCATCTAAAAAATTGAGGTTATTACTCTAAAATAAGTGAGAAGAATATAAAGCAACTTTATTATATTGAAGTGTGAACCACTATCACAACAAACGAACGTATTAATCCTTAAATGAATTTTTACACCATGATAGTTACCAACAGCATGGGAGTGCGAAAAGTAAAAACCAGATCTCTTGAAAACGAGTTAATTGTGAGTTTAAACTCAATGTGAAGTTCAAGCTATCTAATCCGAAATTCTTACGTCTCAAGACTAAATGCTTGGTATCAACAGCCCCTACACTAAGTGTTATTCATATCCAAATACCTGAGTCAATTTGATTTGAGTTTTACCTACAATAAGAAAAAGGTAACATTTTTTCAATAGATAAATCCATTTAAAGTCATCTACATGTATAAAATTATAAAAAAGTTTGTTAGCAAATCGTAAGTGCCGTTAACCATAAAACCTATTGTCAGTACTCCTGTCCGAATTCAATCAATGCACATTATTAGGTGACATAGCTGATTCGATTTTCCTGAAAGTAATATTTGGCTTAAAGATCGTTTAGTCAACTGGCAGAACATTAATGACAGTTTCATTCGCTAAAGGTATAAAAACCAAAGAGTAAAGGAGACTCCAATAGTCCATCTTATATTCACATTCTTAAGCACAAACATGCATTTATGTCTAATATTTTTATTCTCATTTCGGAGTAATCTCGAGTAAAGATCAACTGAGTTCCGAAACGACACAAAAGATTCGCAGCTCGAATAGGCCTTTAGTGTTTTCTCAGCTTGATAGTTTACTTGCGGCACTTGATAGTGTCCAGAACAATTAAGGCTGAGGGATCGAATAATCCAGTTCACAGAACATAAATCAAGCGTACAGGCTGGTTCGAAAATAGATTGGCTGACGTTACCAAATCATATCGGTAAGATAGACAGGCAGACAGACAGACAGATACAACGCAGAACTTCGTACATAAGTACATCAGTTCACGTTGCCATACCACGTCAGCATAGAGACGTAACTTTCAGTTCAAATCCAAGAGTGATAGTGATAGTAGAATTATTAGCAGCAATGGAGAAGATATGGTTCGAGAAGTATAATTCAGTGAGACAAATTTAGAAGGAGAAAGATAGAGATTATGAGGAATTCAGATTAGAATTTGAGGGAACACAAAGAGTGGATGCATCTGCGCCATTGCAAACGATTCTGAGGCATGTCAATCAAGGTCTCTAACCATTGGTGACTTTCGTCTCGCCGACCCCAACCAGGTAGCCTACATCTACCAACATGACTCAGTCCACTTGTCAGTGACTTCATGGATTTCTGCCATGTTTTGGTCTGGCCGCCCCTAACTTTCTTCCAACCTACTCCTACACTACAAAATATAGCTCGACGATGCAGTCGGTGGTTAGGCATACGTAACACATGTCCCAACAACCTCAACTGATGAAGTCTCACTACTTCTATTGATCTGCCATCCCTACCTAGAACTCGTTTCCTAACGACAGCATTGCTCAATACGGTTGTACCATAATACACGAGCAATGCTTCGGAGACATCGATGATCGAAGACTAGTAACCAACGAAAGTCCTCTACTCTTAACGGCCATGTTTCGCATCCGTAGAGTAGGACGGAGCGAACTGCTGAACAGTACACTCGTCCTTTAGTCAGTAAACGGATATCTCGCCTACGCCATCAGTGACGCAGGTTGAAAAAAGCCAATCGAGCTTTTTGTATCCGAGCTGAGATTTCGTCAGTCACCAGGCCATCAGCACTGATGAGACTCCCCAGATAAGTGAAGCGATCTACACGTTCAAATACTTCACTCCCTATCACTAGTTCAGGTGCCAATGCAACCCAATCCTGAAGCAACATTTTGCATTTCGAGGAAGAAAACCGCAATCCAAACATGCTTTCATTGTTGCTAAGGGTGGAAACCATATCTGTACAGTAAGAAGGAATCAATACGATGAAAAAACATAAAAGTATGATTAACGTCGACGAACCTCTTATAAAGTGATTGATAAATTCGTAGTTTTTCAAACAAATTGTAAGGTAATAATTCATGAGTAGTCCAGATGAAAATGATTATCAAAGTGAAGAAAGATAATCTGAAAAAGTTAGTGCAACACATTCTGCTATACGCGGTGAAACCTGAGGTAGCCAGTCCATCACCCTACTTGGTACTACAACCGAAAATGCTCTTCAGAAGCGTAAAATTGATACCGAAATTTGAAATAAAACACTTTCTGTTATTTTTGTATGTAAGCACATTTACACCAAGAATTTTAACCTCGTTATACGAGAAAATATGTTTGGAAGTGCGTGAAGTTATGAACCAATGTTACTTTAATAACTCAAGCGATTAATTGAATAGGTTTTTTCGTAGAGAGAAGCATAATATATTTTTGAAAACAAATTTCTATTTCCGTTATATGGGAGCGAAGTACTATTTTAGCAAACATTGCCGTGAGCAACGTATCGATGAGAAACATGTTGAGGTACAGTATCACTATGAGGGATGATTCTTATTCCGTTTCCGAATTTATTGGATATTTGCGAGTCAGTGACAGTAATGCAATATAGAAGTTTCATTACTTTCGGTACGCTGACCGGAAATTTCGAATCAACTTTATTATACGTAATACTTTGATGCATTGCCAACGAATAAATCGGATACGTGAGAAAAGTGAGTATGACTTTTCATTTCATAAGTAATACGACCTTATTATTACCTTACAAGTTGTTTGAGAAAATAAGAAATGAAATCACTATGTAAGAGATTTTTCGACCAAAACCACACATGTTAATGTCATCTAAATATTGAGATTTGTTAAAAATCATGCTGAGAATTGCCAGAAATCTTATAAGCTTTCATTTTTATGTCTGGATCACGACGGTAGTGGGTGAAAGTTTGTTTCCTCAGGTAAGGCTGACAACGGTGAATCCCTCTCTTATTTATCTACTGTAGGGGATTGCTGACCAATGTTACGATTCGTCCTAAAAAGACATTAAGATTAGTGATTTTAACCAGTGCAAGCGCATGCACCGGATGAAAACAAGACGAAAACTTAGCAACCCCACCGGGTCTTCTTGCGTCTGAAAACTGATGCAATCGATTAACATTAGGCACAACACAAATAATAAATAACGGCTAGAACTACTGACCGGTAGCGTAAAACTTTAAAAGTTCGTTACGGGAAAGGCCAAAACCTTGTCAAACTGACGATATTTTGCAAAGTTGATGCGACTAAACAACAATTTCGGTTCTCTAATGTTGTATCATTAGACTGAGGATGTAAGGTCAAGTAACTGGTTTTCGTTTTCACTATTTGTGGTACTGTTAGCACTTACCAGTTCTGCGTAAATGAATAATTTTAGTAAATACTGTTTTCTTTGAAGCCAATATGTCATCTTTTTCAAGGGCTGGTATAAATCGATTGATTTATTCGCGCTCTAACCACTCATCTGCATCACTTCTAGTCAGTTAACAGTATTTTATGACTATGTTACATGATTTGAATGAGTAAATTTGTTCCAGGGCAGTATGGTCTCTACATACCAGAAACTATCACATTAGATGACCGGTGATCAGTTATTTTCAGTGTTCAGAATAACAAGAAAACAGTTCTAATGTTAATGAGTAGAACATTTTCGAAGTAAATTACTAAATAATTAAGTTGAATGGTAGTGAAGATTGTGCTCGAGGATTTAAATGTAAATGACATTAGAAACAACTAGCAAGTATAGAAACAAGCATCCAGCGAAGCTAGTCCAAGTGGGAGATGATAAACCATCTGCATATGTTTATCAGGTTTATCCTTGAAGCTGTCCACTGAGATGATCGTCTTCACCTCTGCTGGAAGAGCATTACAAGCTGTGACATCTCTGTGAAAACGTGTACACGAATCTCGTTGTTCGCTATGAGAGTAAAGTTTTCTGAAGATTTCCTAGGGACTTTATGGTGTTGCTTCGGCAAGATGCTCATGTTAAGATGATAATATGTTTCACGCCATAATCACTTTCACCTATGATTCCACCTTAACCAACTGATCCCAAGTGCCGGAGTCTATCTTCGTACGGTTTGTTCT